TTAAAAAGTTTTGTTTTTAGCACTTTTTACGTCGGTGCGTAATTCACAGAGCTGCACCACAAACACCCTTCACCCGTAAAACACAGTGGCAATACTCGGGTTCCTCTTGGCTTATAATACTGCGTACCTTTTCAAGCACCAGTGCAGTTTTGTTTATTACATTTGAATTTATGCAACAGCTTTGCTGATGGACAAAATGTTAAAGTTGAATGTTTCGGATGTGGGACGCGATATTTTTGCGATTGCCTCCGTTTTTTTGATGAAAAAAGCGCTGAACCAAAGCTCCGCTAACAAAGTAATGCAAAAAACCAGGGCTGAAATTGCCAAAACTGACCGCTTTATTGCATAGCTCGATTCCAATTTTTGCGACGCTAAGCTTTTGCTATACCCTGTAGCCATTTTTAACGAAAGGGTATGCTACATATAGGGAACATTTAAATGGTTTAATTAAAATTAATAGCTGCATATACATTAGACAATTTATAAGAACAGAAATCGGTTCCATATGTAGTTGATTGTTGATTTTTATAAAGCTGAATGATTAATATTATAATTATGTTTCAATTATTATTGTTTTTAAATTAAAAAAATATATAAATATAACTTTTATCTAATGGGTATTTCAGCATTAATCCTTTTAAAGATCAGTTAACTATTTTCAGCTGTTTTTATTCTCTGCGTTTGGCCTTTGCTCTTAACGAAATCGTAAAACCTTAGGTAACAAAATGTCGGTCTGTTCTTTTTGCTGGCACATAATAGTTGCATAATACACACAGACACATGTACACATGCACATATTTATATACACATTCATGCTCCGGAATTCTTTGGTTACGCTGCGTAACCATCGTTGATGTTGTTTGTTGCTCATACGCAGCGTTGTCGCCTCGAGCATTTCAGCATTAATTAGGCCAACGTTGGCATTGAAGTTGCATGCCAACATGCGAGCTTCTCGCCGTTTGGCGTTTGCCGCTTGCCTGCCGCCTGACCCGACCATTAAATGCTCCAATCGAATTTTCAATTAAAAGCGGAAAAAATTCCAAACCACAAACGAACGAATTTTTGGCCAAATAGCATTTGGCATTTTGTGTCCGCACTGGTTTCTGTTGCGAGACTCGTAAAAGTGCAAGCTTACGAAAAAAAAAACCAAAATCAACAAAAATGGAGAAAATGTCAGCTCGTACGTTTCGTTGGGCGTGGCAGTTGGCCCAGCAGGTGTCACAAAGTTGGGGAGTCTGTTTCCCTTTGCTTTGTTGCAGTTATCGTATTGCATTAAAGCCAGCGAGCTGACAAAGCTGAAACTGAAATCTGCGCCCTGCCAGCGGCGAACTGGCAGCCGGCAGCTGGCAAATGGCAATTGGCAACTAGCGAGCGCGACACGCGCAGCTGCCTTCAAATTTGCAAAAACTGCCAACAGCACAGAACAAAAGTTTTGCAAATGAGTTAGACAGGCTTAAATAGATGGAAGAACACAGGGAGAATCGGGGCGTTGAGCAACTTGTGGAAAACTTCAAAATCATTGGACAGCGGCAAGGCTTTAGGCCATCTACAAAACTACTGTCATAATTATAATGAATTATGAAACAATAACTCTGCCTCTAATGGATCCGGCCCCAGGCAACATACACTCTTCCCGTTTTCGACACTCGCACAACTAATTGACAAATGATGATAAAGTGTCTTGGCCAGTACCCAAACGACTTTACTTTATTTATAACATTTTCTTAACGCGCCTCGACGTGCCGTTGCCGGTGTCCGATGGGGTCGGTACTTGCAACGCTAAGTAAAGTGCGCCGCGTATTTCGTGTCCGCGTTCCCGCATTTTACATGAAAATCTGATAAAAGCTTTGTTTGGGCCGACGGAAACGGACGTTAACTGCCAGACCGAATGGACACTGACATGACTGGCATAAAATGGGCTGGAGAGTGGCATGACGGGCAGGTTCACTAACGTACGAAATGGCAGCAACTGGTGGGTTACCTTTCAGCATTTGTTTCACAACCTTAAATATTTAAAATTACGCTTTGCGGTTTAAATTGATACTTAAACTTAAATATTTCTGTGTCTGCCTTAGAATTTACCAAGGTAATCGCATATGAATTTTAATTCGGCATTTATAAATATTATAATTCAATAGCATTAGACACTACAAGTGTATTTAAGTTTCGTGATAGAAAGATTTTACGGTTTTTTCATTCTTTGTTGTTTATGGAAAAAAAAGCAAAACTTTTTTTTCGGCCAAAGCCCCCTTTTAAAGCGTAAATTAACAAGTCTTTTACATGAAAAATTCAATAAATGTTGCCCGGCGTCTGACCCTAAATTTTCGACCTTTTTCTTTATGGTTGGCTGGAGTTCCAGTGTCACATCATTAATGCTGAGGTTCGTTGCTCAATAAAAGCGGAACATACATGTTCCCTATTATTTAATAATACTTTTTGTGGTTTAAGATATTTAATATTTATTTTTTATGGCCATTATGCGCCAAACCTAAATATAGCCAAAGCAGCACTAAAAAAAGTGTTCCGCCGACAGGTGTAAAGCCTGCCATGAAATATTAATGAGAAAATGCCTATTACAATCAGAGCTGTCAAGCCCGAAATGTGTAATATAAACAGGGCAGAGAAGCTACGTTGGCATTGGCAAAGCTTTGATACCCTACAAATAAATGATGCAGGAAAAATATTATTAATTTCCTTTTTGCTTCTGCGCTTTGTAAATAGGATAAATTTAGCAGCGGAATGGACTTCGTTTTTTTATTGTTATTTTAAAATATTTGCAAACGTTTTATCCACTTTATGGCCACTAGGTTTATTATTCTAAAGAGATGTTTATGTATATTCTATCAGAAATGTCCAAAAGTATTTGCACAGGTTTTTAAGAGTTACAATTGATGTTCATTTTAGTCTACAGCGCCTACTTAACCTTATTTTTTGTGTAAATCTGCAAACAATTTATTTTAGTATTTCATACCATTTAAATAATTTGCCCAGACTCTGATTATAATAGGCCTGACGCACCTTAATATATATTACATTATTTTTTCTGTTTTCTCGCTACATTTTCCTTAATTGGCGTAATTTTCTTAATTAAAATTTTGTATTTGCGTAACTTTGGTACCTTTTTGTGCCCCGCTTTGCTTTTTAAATTTCCTTTTGCTGTATTAAATTGCGGCTCATTAAGCAGCTTCAACTGCTAGGTGAGTTCAATTTACGCAACCCGACTCATCCTTTCAGGTTACCTCTTAAATTCCTCAAGTATCCTTTAGAATTCGCCACAACCAAAGCAATTCCAGCTGCCCAATAAGGCAGCTTAGTGATAGCCACTAATCAAACTACAAGCAACAGCAACATTTGTAGTTCCTACATAGAGCAGATTATTAGTCATGTTTCAGTATACTAATTATGCATGGCAGAATGGATTGACTGATTGGAAGTCAAGAATTGAGTGCGCATTAAGCTGCTTAGGCAGCCTGCATAACTATCAATGTCATATTGATCAGACCAGGGGTGCGAGTGTGTATCCCTCTTTTGTTCTAAGTAACGCAAGTGCCTAGAAACCAACAGCCCCCCATCATATCTATAAGAACCTCATTGCCGACCTCAGCTTGTGCGTGCCTAAAATTTAATTAACTGCGCACTGCACAACATTTTCAATATACTTGTGGATGTTTGTTCGGCCGACGACTAATTCGAGAGGCTATCAAGGTGTTCTTGACTTTTGCTCTTTAATAAATAACTACGTTGCAAGCCTTCAATAAGCCAATTCATATAACAAGACAAGCACTTATCTCAAGGTGCTGAAGATAAAATACCACTGCATAAATATATGAAAATTATAAGATTATATATTAATAACATTTTTTTAAATATTTAAATAAAGCTTATTCGTGCTGAGCTGATCAATATAAATGTGGTTCATATAAAATAACAAAACAGGAACCTTTTTGCTTTCAAGCTTGTTATTAGGTTTTTTCTATATGATAGTATAATTTTCTATATTCGAATACTATTTAATTAATACTAAAAACATCGCTAAATGACGACTGCTTATACAGTAGTTCGTATAGATGTGATATAGATTATATTTGTACAAAAAGTTTACCTCCAACAAAATTGATCTTGCAACTGAAGGAGATATCTGTTTGTCGTAAGGAAGTTCTCGAGTATAATCTTAAAAAAAGAGGCTGGCAACTTTCTTTGGGTTAGTGGTTCGCTCCGACCGATATGATTATTAAAGGCAGCTTAAGAATAGAATCTTGATTGCATAAAAAAACCTGATTGGCGGACAGTCAGGACCGAACTTTAATTATATCAATATGGGCATCAGGACTATATAATAAAAAAAAGGAATATGGATTTTGTTAAACAACTATATTTAAATGGTTTATCTTCAGCATTCCTACAAGATATTCTATGTATATCCTATTTTTGCATAGCGTTAACAAATGTCTCACTCTGTAGTTGTACATGTTAAGTACATATTTAAGTTTAAAATACTTATCGAGTTACCCTCGTATGATTCTTAAATGCTGTTGTAATTGTGTAAACAATCTTGTACTAAGAATTTAATGCGCTTGTTAGTTCGAAGACTGTTATTTGTGTAGGCGTCCTACTAAAAACTAGTCCGATGACAAATGCAGCAAATCCTACAAAACTTAAAGCTTCGCCAAAGAAATCTTTGGTACGCATTCTCCACCGATGATTTTGGATATGAAAAGAGAGGTTTTTGGAAATGAATTTGAGCACGAAACATCGCCCACCAAGTATTTGACCCCCATTTCCAGCAATGAACAACTCCTCAAACGAATTTGAACAAAGATCTTTGCAAATGAGTTTGAGGCCGATCAAATGGTAAACAAGAAAGCTTTGGAATTCTCCAAAACTCTCTCTCTCACCGTCCCCTTACTACTTCTCTCTTACTACTCCACCCATTACTGTGAAATTTTAACGGAACTACACTACTATGTAGTAGCACCGACTAGGAGATACACTAAATAAAGTTAGTGGCAAACAAATCTTTATTTTCAAATGTTTAAAATTGTGTTGGGTTGAGTAAATAATAGTGTAAAATCTAGGCAAAATCATTCGGGTTCCAGGGCTTAGGAATAGTGCCAGTTTTAATCAAATATTTTAACATATCGGGGCCCTTCCTCTTAGCTTCTGCCGCGTCCGCTTTGGCTTTTTGTTCAGCTTTGGCAGCATCTTTAATAGCTTGATAATAGCGTTTAGTCATCTTAACCGGAATGGGGTCACTTCTGCCTGATGGTTTTTTCTTTTCACCATAGGGGAACGCCTCGCCGCCAGGAGTGCCCCATTCACGGCCACGTCCACCTACGCGCATAGGGCCCCCTTTAGAACTGTCATGCGGGACGTCTGCCGTACCGTGTGGCCCACCGCCCCTATATCCAAAGACCCCGTCCTCAAATACTTCTTCAGCGGGTGCACCAAATGCAGTGCCTGCGTATCGCCCACTCGCACCACAATCATAAGCGCGCCAGTTGGGACGGTGCTTGCTTGGATGTTCTGGTGGCACCGCTAAATCAGCTTTGGCCGTTTGGGTGCCGTTGTTAAAGATGCGGCGCTTAGGTGGCAGGTCACGATTCGCCATGGCCGCCGGCGGGCTCACATCGAAATTAAAGTCCATTTCGCTCTCACTGGTGTCTGTGAGCACCAGATGATCTCCGCAATTCTCGATGCCACGGCGCTTGCACTCCTTTTGCAGTACGGTCTCGAGGCACTTCTTCTCGAAGTTGTCGCGGCATACACACATCATTAACGTCTGATGGCAAGTGCACTTGCGGAAACCTTTCCCTTTCAACTTCTTCTTGATCTCTCTTAAAGCTACGGCAAGATCGCTTTTGACCAGCTTAAATACAATGGGCTTCATATCGACATTTGTATTATTGAGTGGCCGCAGTGCTATGAAGATTTCGCCATTTTTCTTGCGCAAGCTGAGAATGGGCCACTGGCGTTCCTTTTCCATTTCTGCTTCTCTCGCTGTCTGGCATTTATTGAAGGCACCATTCTCTGGCGAGTGTTTCAAAAAAAACTTCATAAGCTTTGTAATCGGCTTGCGAATGAAGCCTGGTCGCCAGCCATGCTTACGTGCCTCTTCGCTGGAGGACCAATCCCATCCGTGACGGGGCGAGATAGATCGCATGGACTTTTTCACAGCTTCTCTTGCAATTTTTTGCCTGGTCAGATCTCTACGCTCGGCGATTGAGATCGAATTCTTCTTAATTATGTATTGGCCGTTTTTTTTAATCCATCTCGGGGTTGATTTTGGCTCCTCGATCTCAGATGGTTTTACGGTTTTGATATAATTTAGAATAACTAATTCGGAGAATACACGTGATAGAAATGGGCGAAACACATCTGAATCCTCGTTCGACCCACAAAAAGCCTTAGAGATATCTTCCTCGGCTTTCTCGGAAACCGGTTTTTCCTTAGTCTGATAAAAATCTGCACACATTTTACATACTCGACAATAGGCACAGAGTTTTCCGAACTTGCAGGTGCACCGACATCTTTTTTCTTTCACGTCGTTCGTACCTGCCTTATCACTGAAATCCGCGCAGACGTCCATAAGAGTATCTGGGGACTTGCCCAAAAAATCTATCAGTATTTCGTCCGCTGCTGGCTGCTTGTTGAGTGCTCCAACAACTGGCATTGGTTTTACTCCGCATTTCGGGCAGGCGGCTAGTGGTGGCAGCCATGTCATATTGGCCTGGCAATCGGGACAGGAGCGTCTTGCATATTTTTTCGTGGGACTGATCGTTCTGGTTATCCGTGCCGGATCATAGGCATCTTTGTTTTTACCATCTGGCTCTGGTATGTGGGCGAAACATGGTAGATTAGTACTTTCCTTCTGATGGTAGTGACTAGGAACGCTTAAATTGGGTGTCATTCGGCAAGGCGGCTTTAAATCCTTTGGCTGGCCAGAGAGCTCCGTGATTAAGTCAACTGTCTCCTCACAGTCCTGTGCCATTTTCTGTAAGTAGAAAACATGTCTTAGAAGATAGGTTTTGAGTGTTAAATAGATTTATAAATACCTTCATCTCACAACATGCGGCGTTGCCAGCTGGGTTGTGAAGAAATGTTACCGAAGGCTTAAGGTCATTGACATTCAAATTCCCAAAGTTTTGTTTACCAAATTTCAGGTACTCAGCATCTTCAAATGCATCAAGGCAAGGATCGCAGACAACGGGACATCTCTGGGACTCGCTCACAATAAATAAGATATCCTCTTCTTTGATGCTTTTGTCTTTGAAACTATTATGAACACTGCAAAACATGGCAAAAGATTGATAATTGAAGCTGGATACATGGAAACCTTTACTTACACTATCTGTTCCTCACATTTCACGACCAGCCGGTAGAGCACCTCAAGCGAGCCAGTAACTTCGCCATTCCGTTCAAATGTGCACGAACCAACTTGTATCAGCTCACTCATGGTATCCTCTATTCTCTTGATGACATCTTCACGAAAACGTATTTGTCCAGTGCCGAGAAGAAGACCGTTGTACATCACAGATATAGGTATTCCACATTCTTCGAGAGTTTGGCGGAGATCTGTCGGGTTCACAGTGACCGCAGTCTCAGAGTTGGGTTTGATATCCGTAACATTGATCCTGCTCGCAGTTAATGGTATGGATACATTATTAAACTTGACCTCAACTACCAGTCCTTCGAGATCTTTAGTATTCACACTGGGTGACCTTATATTTGTCACAATTATGTCAAAGAGAAAGGTGCAGGTAGTCATTTTTTTGTATTTTTTTAAGTTTTTCTTTTAATATTTATATATAAATTGACATGTGCGAAAAGGTAAAATTGCTTAGTAAAAAATTGGTCGTAAAGTTTACAGAAAATTTTTTTATGTATTCTAATAATGCTGCGCACATTGTATAAACACAAATGCTGCTACGATGAACTAATGAAATTAATGATTTACAAAAAGAGCCATCTTTGAAGAATAAATATTCTTGCGAACATATGTCCTATTGTTGGTTTTTATACAAAAACTCTATTTCCGACCGATTGTTCGTATTAGCTTTGTGATAACTACTGCAGTCCGATATTGACAAGGTTTCGCTAGGTAAATGGCGAACCCCGAAAATGGCAACTTTGGTTATCTTGGAAAATAAAATAAATGGAAATTTTCAATTTTCATCGATCGTTCCTATGGCAGATACATAATATAGTGGATCAGATCCGACCTACACACAAAATGTGGATCTATGGAAAGTTTCCTAACTTCATATTCAAAAGTTAAGGACTAGTTAGCATAGAAGCAGACATGGCTACACTTCCTACACTTCCTTCTAAAAAGTGCGTTAAATTGTATTATCGTCTGTTTTTATTATATACAACCAAGAATGCTTTAGACTAGACCGCCTTGGAGATACTTTGTACGCAGCTCCGAGCTGCAATAACATGCATTCGATCTTTCTTTTATACACACATACACAAACGCACACACAAGCTCGAAAGCCGCACACTATGCAGCCGCTGTGTTTTTTTTCCTCTTCTAATAGAATTTTTGCCATTCGTGGTCCGATTCGCAAAGTTTTGGCAAAGTTCATTGAAGATAGATTTAAAACTGAGTCTCGCTTGCATAAAACAAGAGTGTCAGACATGGCTATATTGACTCGATTGGTGATACTGATAAAGAATAGATATGCTTCATAGATTAGGAGATTACAGAATTTAAGCTTTATAATTCTGAGAAATAAGTTAAATGAATAATGCTTATTCTTGTATATTATACGCATATCCAAGTAATTTTAGACTTTTAGACTAGACACAATTTTCTTCGATTCCGATATCGAATCCCAACCATGTTCTTTATTTACTCATTAATTACATCAAGTTGAGGTTTATTAGCTATGATCAATAGGGTTTCAATAAAAGCCGCGTGTAAGCTAACAAGTGTTGATGAATATAAAAGGGCACAGAGATCAGATAAACCAAGATAAGTGCAGAAGAGGGTCAAACAAGTCCTTTTGGCTAAAAAATAAGCGATACTCTGAAAATAATTGTAAATACACGGATCTATTATTTATTTAGCAATTGTAATAACAAGGATTGAGACACTGGGTGCCATACGAATTGCAGCATCCGGCAGTACAGGGATTAAAGCCTTTACCGAGGCGAGTCACGAATTCGATAGGGACTGGGGGGATTTGCTGCAGAGCACGACGCCTACGTTGTGCATCGGTAAGTCCGTCCGGGCCAACAACAGTTCGTTTCTTAGAAAAGGCGCCGTGCTGCTGAACATACTTCATCATGTCGATACCCATTTTCTGCGGTGTCGAATCTTTATTTATAGCGTCCTCTTTGGCTCTGGCAGACTCTTTAAGCATTTTTTCACCGCGTCCACGGGTGCCCTTCTTGGCACCTTCTTGGTGCCTTCTTGGCACGCCACCCTTTCTCCCAAAGACACCATCCTCAAACACTTCCTCTCCTGGAGCGCCGAAGGCTGTGCCCGTGTAACGATCACCGGCAGCACAATCATAGGCGCGCCAGTAGGGGCTGTATTTGATTGGATACCTTGGGAGCACAATTCTATCCATTGCGGTGCACTGGGTGCTATGGCTAATGGTGAGTGGCTTTGGCACCGGACGAGGCTTTGCAGAGCCCGCCGGCGGTGACACATCAAAATCATACTCCATTTCGCTGTCACTGGTGTCTGTCAGGACTAGTTCGTTCACACAGTTCACCATGCCGCGACGTTTGCATTCTTTTTGCAGAGCATGCTCGAGAAGTTTCTTGTCGTAGTAGTTGCGACAGGTGCACATCATAACCGTCTTGTGGCAGTTGCATTTGGGGAAACCTTTCGCTTTCAACTTTCTCTTGATTTGGCTTAGAGCCACAGCGAGATCGCTTTTAACTACCCTAAATACAATGGGCTTCATCTCGACATTCTTGTTGTTGACCGCTCGCAGCGTAATATAGATTTCGCCTTGCTTCTTGCGCACGTGAAGAATGGGCAGCTGATGTTCCTTGTCTGCCTTTTCCACACTCGCACATGTGTCAAATGCTTTTTTCTCTGGTAAGTATTGCAAGAAAAACCTCATAATCTTTTTGATGGACTTGCGAACGAAGCCCGGTTGCCAGCCGTACTTGCGCGTTAGCTTGCTGGAAGGCCAGGCCCAACCGTGGTTGGGAGGTACGGCACCCTGTTGACTTAGACAGGACTTGTGTCCTACTTTGCAGGATGTTGGCTTTTGCTCGACGTTTGTTTGCCTTGATTTTCCAGTGTTGTTCTTAGCACCTTCGCGGCTTATTTTCGGTGAATACGCTTTTGATTTAGTTTGTTGTTTCACATCCGTTTGTTGTGGTGTTTTATTTGGCGACGAATATTGACCGCATTCTTTGCTGACCCCAGGTAAAAGCTTGGTTTCTTTGATGTTGTACAATTCGCGAAGCTCAGAGAATACACGCGCCAGGTGTGGACGGCACTTTTCTAAGTCATTATCTTCCAAGCAAATGTCCTCAGAGGATTTTGGCCGTACCTCAGGACACACAGGCTGGCCTTCATCGCCCTGAAATATATCTGAGCAAATTTTACGTATTCGGCAGTGCGCACAGATTTTTCCGTTCCTGCAAGTGCACCGACATCCGAGCTGTTGATCTTCCTCAGTATTTTTCGCAGCGGGTGCAGAGCAGAGCTTCGCACAGTAATCTTCAACGTTTTCCAGTAGCGGCTTACCCAGTAAATCGGTCACTATTTGATCGGCTGTCAGTTTTTTTTCCTTATGGCTTTCTTCGATGACTGGCATAGGCTTCACACCGCAATTGGGACATGCGGCAAACTTGGGCAGCCACGACATATTGGTCAGGCAGACGGGGCAGAAGCGTATGGGTTTGATGGATGGCTTTTCCAATTCACTGATTGGCACTGGTATCACCTTTGGGCTGCACAATTCATTATTGTTGACCTGCGGCGCGGAAAATTGTGAAAAGCAGGGAATTCTGGGTAAGGTTGGTGGAGAATCCACTATTGAGTCAATTCCGCCAATGATTTGCTGAGGCTGGGCAGTGCGGCAGACAATTGAGTCAATAATTTGTTCACAGTCCCGTGCCATTTTCTGCAAATAGAAGCGACACCTAAGAAGCAAGGCTTTAAGAATTCACTAGATTAATAGTTACCTTCATCCCACCTGTGGCGTTAGTCGCTACTGGGTTATGCATGAACGTTTCAGTTGGCCGACGTGCGTTACCATTAGAGCTGCGATACCGCATCAAGTCCAACTTCAGGCGATCATCGCCCTCGTCTGGGTACATGACATCTGGACAAAGATCGCTTTCAGTGGGACAGTGTTGGTTTTCCCCCATTACAAACATAATATCCTGCGGATTGATGCTTTTGTCCTTGTACAGCTGACATTTCTCTTCCTGCTGCCTGAAAGAATAAATGATGATGCTTGCTTGCATTCCTTCGCAGCCTAACTTACTTTGTTTTTTCGTCGCATTTGGTATACAGGCGGCAGAGTATCTCAAGGGTGCCGACAACTACACCGTCCCGCTCAAATTGGCAGGTATCCGCATGCATCAGTTCATTCATGCCTTCCTCTATGCGGTCAGTGAACTCTGCCGGGAATTGTACTTTACCGGCACCGATAACTCTGCCATTGTATATAACTGACACTGGCATTCCACATTGCGAGATGAACTTCTGTAGCTTGCTTGGAGAGTCTTTGAACTCAAGAGCCGAACCGGGTTTGAATTCGGTTACTTTAATACGACTTGTTGTTATACGCAACGCTTTGTTGTTAAAGTTGACATCCACCTGCAACTGGGCGGGATTTTGAATTTTAACCTTATTTGTCTTAAATTGAGTCACAATAACATCAAACATATAGTTACACGAGTCATGTTTGACATTTAATTTTATCGATTCTGATTGCATTATTTTTTTTTTAAATTTTTTCTATTGTATCCAAAAGTTAGCCAAACAACAAATTTGTATATTTAACACTTAAATTTGTACAACAGATCTGTTAAATACATTCAACTCAAGCACGAAAGAGTGACTGAAATCTAAAAATTTTTATTGTCAAAATTATAAAATCAAATGGTAGTTTGATGAATAAACAGTAAAAAAAAATAAATATAAAATTAGTAATAACATATACTATCTGCTGCTACGCATTGGCATTAGGATTCCATGGGGTGGGAATAACACCGCGTTTCATCATATATTGCATCATGTCGGGGACCTTTTTCCTTTTTTCCTCCTCCTTCTGTTTGGCTGCTTCTTTCGCCGCCTCTTCTATAGCTTTATAATAGCGCTTGGGCATTCTCACAGGAATGGGAGCACTTTTGCCTGCTGCTTGTTTCTTTATGGCACCGGGAAATGACTTTCCACCCGGACTGCCCATTGGCACAGTTCTTCCACCACCGATCATAGGTCCACCGGGCTTTGCGCCCCAAATAGTCTTGCTTTTCGGTCTGGCACCATAAGTAGCAGGCACACCATGCAGACCACCGCCCCTATAGCCAAATAGGCCATCCTCAAACACATTTTCACCGAGACTGCCGAATGCCGTACCCGCATAGCGATCTCCCGCAGCACAGTCATAGGAACGCCAGTAAGGGGTATATTTGAGTGGATATGTGGGCGGAACATTTCGATCCTTCGCAACTGTCTGCGTATTTCTGGTGACGGTGCATGGCTTTGGCGGAGGTGGATGCGTTGGTACACCTGCCGGCGACGGCACATCGAAATCGAACTCCATTTCGCTGTCACTGGTGTCCGTGAGAACCAGATGATCTACGCAATTTTCCATGCCGCGTCCTTTGCACTCTTTTTGTATTGCGTTCTCGAGATGTTTCTTTTCCACGTTGTCGCGACAGACGCACATCATAACAGTTTTGTGGCAGGTGCATTTGGGGAAACCTTTCGCTTTCAACTTTCTCTTGATCTCACTTAAAGCCACAGCGAGATCACTTTTAACTACCTTAAATACAATTGGCTTCATCTCTACGTTCTTATTGTTAACCGCTCGCAGGGTAATATATATTACGCCTTTTTTTTTTGACAGGTTGAGAATTGGAAGCTGACGCACCTTTTCCTTTTTAGCTTCCAACTGTTTCCTGCACGTATTATATGCATTATTTTCGGGCGAGTAATTCAAAAAGTAATTCATGACCCTCTTCATGGGCCTGAGAACTGCGCCAGGTCGCCAGCCATACTTGCGTGCCTCTTGGCTTGAGGCCCAAGCCCAGCCGTGTCGACGAGAGACAGGTCCCACCCGCTTTACGCAACTCTTGTGTGCTCCACTGGCGAGACGTTTTTGAACGACGATCTCGTTAAAGGCTTTTTTCGGAAGACTCGGGTAAGGGGATTTCTTACGAGCTGGAGTGGCTTTTTTCACCTTGGATTCAGGCTTTGGGCCGTTCTCCTTGCAGTTATCAGGTCTTCGCACCTTCATATCGTATAGTTCACGTAGTTCGGAAAAAACACGTGCTAGAAATGGGCGAGACTCCTCAGACTTAACCTTAATCACACAAAAGTCCACGCTGCCTTCCGACTCTTCTGTATTGTCCTCCGTTTTCCTACTTAAACCTGGCTGGAAAACGCCTGGAATTAGTTTAATTACTCGACAGTAGGCGCAGAGTTTGTCGGTTTTGCAAGTGCATCGACATCGACCTTGGGCCATTTCAGCCTTTTCTACAGCGAGCTTATCACAAGGATCCTTACAGATATCGTCATTGGCCGCCGGGGGCTTACCCAGACAATCGATCATTATATTGTCTGCGGTCAGTTCCTTTTGGTTGTAATCTTCCTCAATGACCGGCGTGGGTTTGACTCCACACTTGGGACAGGCGGCAAATATTGGTAGCCATGACATATTGTTCAGGCAAACCGGACAGAATCGTATATTCTTATTCTTATTCTGCGAGTCATTTCCTTCACTCATTGGCATGGTTGCAAGCTTAGGGCTGAGAAAATCACGCCCAACGTGCTGTGTTGGTGGGAAGTGCGAATTGATGGGAAAATTTGGTAGACTGGGAGGTTTTTGGATAGTTGGATAGCTTGATTTGTGACAGGGTGGATCGCATGGACGTCTCAGTGCGTCAGCTGTACGGCAGGGCGGCTTCAGTGAACTAGACTTGCCAGTGCGTTCGACAATCGAGTCTATAGCTTGCTCATACTCCTGTGTTATTTTCTGTTAAATAGAAACAAAGCCAATGAGTTGGAAATTTAGCGAGAAAAACCTTTTAAGCCAACCTTCATCTCCCTGCATACAGAGTCGTTTACTGGGTTATGTTTAAATATTTCGTCATGCTTACGGGCAACAATTTCCAAGCTGCGATAGCGGCCCTTGTCTAGGTTAAGGACCTCATCGCCCTCTTCTGACTGCCATGCATCTAAACAAGGATCGCAAGGGGAAGGACAACGTTGGGACTCGCTCATTATGAACAAAATATCTTGCGGTTTGATGCTTCTGTCCACATTGCGACGACAATCGCTCTCTTTCGGTCTGAAAATAGACTGAGCTGAGCAACGGTCAGATGCTCGGAAATTTTTACTTACTCTGCCTTATCATCGCATTTGATAATCAGACGTATAAGCACATCAAGAGAGCCAGTAACTTTAGCCTCCCGACCGAATTGGCAGGTGTCGACATGTACCAAATCGGGCATGCCCGCGACTATGCTATCAATAAAAGTTTGGGGGAAACTTATTTGGGCGGTCCCGAGAAGACAACCGAGGTACTGCACTGTAATGGGCATTCCACATTCCTCTAGGGTCTGGCGCAGTTTTTCTGGGAATTTATTGAACTCATTACTTGAGCCGGGCTTGAAATCTGCTACATTAATCCGGCTCGGCGTTATAGGGATCGATTTTTTATTAAATTTGACCTCTATTTTAAGTTGCTTGGGATCTTCAACATATATTGACTCAAAACGAGTCACGACAATATCAAATACAAAATTACAGGCTGCCATTTCAATGGAAAGTGGTTTGTTGTTACCGCTTGCCTTTGAGTTAACCGTTAATATAAAAATGTAGGCACTTTATTTGGACTTTTGCCCTAATTGTAAAAAAAATTAGAAAAAACAAAGCACGGAAATTTAAAACTGATTGTCAATTTTTATTAAAGGAATTTTGGGAGTAATGTACATTAAATCATTGCACTTAAAACACTAAATAATTTTCAGATCCCTGTAGTATATCAAAACAAAAGCAACTATGATGGAAAACATTTTTAATAAAGATTCCAGAACGGTGCATATTAGTTTTAGTGTTCTCGTTTAAAATCTTATGCTGAGATTTTGCACGTCTGCCTACGGTAATAAAAAAAAACTATTCGTTTTGCAGTCCGTCCGTGAACTTACCCTTGTTTTTTTTTACAATTTTCAAGCTAGAAAATATACTTGTGATAACAAGCATACGATTAAGCAATCTGACAAAAAAAAAATTAAGTGGTTCACCGATTGTCCCTATACTATATATCCTTTAAGGCTATTGCTGTTGCGCTGTTGCTGCATTTCCAGTGGAGATAGGGTATATACAGCAACAACAAGATCTTATTGACTATATATGTTATCTAAGGCTAGACGGTATTATCCGTCTTTTGCCGGGCCAACATTTTTATATGTAGTATTTTAAGCATTCTTGCTTTAATTGTTTGGACTTTACGTTAACGATCGATCAGGAATGTCAGTTTTATGTAAATAGATCCCGGTCTTTTAAGCGGAAAGTCTCGACAAAAAATTCAATTTTATTTTAATAAGCGGTGAATGTATAACAACAGTTTGCAAGATGATTTTAAGCTAGGCCCCTCAAAATGCAATTATGTATAACCGATCGGTATAAATAAATAATATATTCATTTAAATAACAGAACTTTATACGATAGACACAATCTAGATGAAAAGCGTTATAACCATAGGGACCACATTTTTTGAGCTGTTAAGCAACTCAGTTTCTGAAACAAGAGTGTCTTGTCTAGAGTTAGTCTCAGGTATTCGTGACATAAAGCATGGTACCGCTCAAAGCAATGATGAATTTCCTCTTTTCCACTTTCGTAGCCATATGAGACTATGATGTACATAGAATGACTGAATACATAGAATGAATAGAAAGAATAGAAATAGATAGAATGAATAGAAGAATAGAAAGAGTACATAGAATGACAAAATCTGTTATTTCCTTTAGCTTTGATAATTGCTCAAGAAGCTCAAGAAGTTCACCCTGAAAGCCTGCGACTCGGGCAGCATCAATAAAGTAATTTGTCCACTTATTTGTTGAATGACTTAGAGCTCTATAATGGTATCAAATGTGACTGATAGATAAATATTAAGTGCACAATGAAATGCTTATAACACAAATACTTATTATTTATTAAGAATGACTTTCGATTAAATTTCAAAATCTGTTATTTCCTTTAGCTTTGATAATTGCTCAAAAAGCTCAAGAAGTTCACCCTGAAAGCCTGCGACTCGGGCAGCATCAATAAAGTAATTTGTCCACTTATTTGTTGAATGACTTAGAGCTCTATAATGGTATCAAATGTGACTGATAGATAAATATTAAGTGCACAATGAAATGCTTATAACACAAATACTTATTATTTATTAAGAGAATCGTTCTGAGCAGCGCACCTTACATCTAAACTTTTTAAAAACTCTGGAATCATCTGGATAATATTCTTCGTACTAGCTCGTAAAATTTTTCAGAGCTTACTTTAGCACACGCATCTGATGTGCTTCAGTGAATCGATTAATGCACAACCCCAATGATGGTTCTAGAATTAAAAAAAAGTCATCTGTAGATTTTGTTCCATGTATGCAAATAGCACATGCTCGAAAGTACGCGATCTGCTCTTAGCAATAGTAAGCACATGAGTCGTAGCACTGTGCCCCACATGGGTTATAGCATTGGGCCGCATGAGAATAACAGCAGTCAGCAGGATAACCCTTACCAAGCCGGGTGATGGTGTCGATTGGGGGCATGGGCATTTGGAGGAGTGCGATACGCTTGCGTTGGGCGCTGGTGAGGCCATCCGCGCCGACCATGGCGCTAGGCTTAATCTTAGGACCTTTGCTCGCATCGGGATCGTTAGGATTCCATGGCCTAGCAATTTCGCCGTGTGCCATCATATATTTCATCATATCGGGACCTCTCTTTTTCATTTCTGCTTTCAGCTTCTCGGCATTTTTCTCCGCTTCAGCAGCCTCTAAGGCAGCTTTCAATAAACGCTTAGGCATCCTCACCGGAATGGGTTTACTACCACTTACAGACTTATCTTTACAATGCCCAAATGGCATCTTCGCTGGATTTCCTTGTTGTCGAATAGGTCCGCGCATGGGTCCACCAGGTTTATCACCCCAAATAGCTGCGGTTTTCGGTCTTCCTCCTGGACAAGCAGACACGCCGTGTGGCCCGCCACCTTTACAATTAAAGGCGCCATCCTCGAAAACAACTTCACCAGGAGCTCCGAATGCCGTGCTCGTATAGCGATCGCCTGCAGCACAGTTATAGGCTCGCCAATAGAAGCTCTGGTGCTTTGGATACTTTGGTTGCACTTTTAAGTCGGGCTTGGCCGTCTGTGTGCTACGCTCGACGGTGCGGGCCTTTGGTAAAGGAGGCTTTGCCACGCCCACCGGCGGTGTTACATTAAAATCAAAGTCCACGTCGCTTTCACTCGTGTCTGTGAGCACCAGATCACTTACGCAAGTTTCTATGCCACGGCTGTGACATTCCTGTTCTAGTGCGTTCTTAAGCTCCTCTCTTTCCATGTAGTTTCGACAGGTACACAACAATAAGGTCCTGTGGCAGGTGCACTTGCGAAATCCCTTGTCCTTGAGGTTCTTCTTTATCTCGCTTAGAATCTTAGCAAGTTCGCTTTTGACCACCTTAAACACAATGGGTTCCATCCTAGCGTTATTATTATTGATCGCTCTCAGGGTTATGAAGATTTCACCATTCCTTTTGCACATGTTCAGAATGGGAAGGTCTCTTTCCTTCTTGATTTCTTTTTCTTCTACTTCCTTGCATACATTTTGCTCTTCCGAATTATGCAAGAAAAATTTCATAAGCCTTTTAATAGGCCTTGATACCGTTCCGGGCCGCCAGCCAAACTTCCGTGCCTCCTGGCTGTTGGCCCAATTCCAGCCGTGACGACGCGAAACTAGGCACGGCCCATTAGCACAGGTATTGTGGCCTGTATTTGGAGGCTTGCGCTTCGGCTTGTTTGAATTCTGGGTAGTAATGTAACGTCTTGTCACTTCTCTACGCTCTCTAATTGCGGTTTCTCTTTTCTCATTTTTACGAGACAGACTGAGTGTATGTCGGGTTTTCTTGCGTGCCGACTGTTGATTACATTCCCTTTCAAGGTCCGACGGCCGCTTGGTGTTCTCAATGTTGTGCAAATCGCGTAACTCAGAGAACACACGTGCCAGAAAAGGGCGAGACATATCTGGTTGGAGAAGCGATAAACAATAATCGCCGGCTGGATCTTCCTCACTCGCTTGAGTCACGGGCGCAGATTCCTCTTTTTTTTCAGATTTAAAGAAATCCGCGCACATTACGCGCACTCGGCAGTGGGCACAGAGTTTTCCGAACTTACAGGTGCACCCGCACACTTCACTATTTTCACTAGAATTTTCCTTAGCATGTTTTGTAGGGAAACTCTTACAGTAATCTTCAATAGTTTCCGGGGGCTTGCCCATATATTCAATTAGTACTTCTTCCGCTGTTGGCATCGGCTCCTTCTGAACATTTACGACCGGCATAGGTTTGACGCTGCAATTCGGACATGCGGCGAATTTGGGCAACCATGACATATTCTTCAGGCAGACAGGGCAGAAACGTATCGGATTGGTTTGGGTCAACGTCTCAGAATTGATTTCCCCGGCTGGCACCTTTGGAATCGCTTGCAAGTGCGAAACGCTTGACGGACTATCACTGCCCTGGTCAGGGTCCATGAAAGGCTTCAATTGGCCAGTGCGCTTTAGAACCGAGTCAATAATTTCTCCATACTCTAGGGACATTTTCTGTTAACGACAGAGAGAGAGAGAGAGCTGCAGAAAGCTTTAGAGAAAACGCCCGTTCGGCACTCACCTTTAGTTCTCTACAGATAGAATGGCCTGTTGGGTCATGTGTGAAAGTTTCAATGGGCTTAGGGGAACCAACAGGGACGCTTTCATAGCGTTTAAAATCCAATTTTAGGCGTTCATCGCCCTCCTCTGGCTCTAGTGCATCCAGACAAGGATCGCAAGGGCTTGGGCATCGCTGGGACTCGCTCAGAAGAAACATTATGTCTTGCAGGTTGATGCATTTAGCCATATTCGGAACACATTCAATCTCTCCTGTCCTGAAATATGATGAAAGTTCAGTCTTGAGTTACGACTGACGCCAGTCATACATAAAACTTAACTTACTTTGGCTTATTTTCGCACTTAATGATTAAACGGCAGAGCACCTCAACGGTGCCTACAACTTCACCATTTTCTGTAAGTTGACATTTGTCCGAGATCATCAGATCAACCATCTGGTCTACAATGCTATCAGTGATGGTCGGGGGCAAAATGATCTGACCGGTACCCAGAGCTCGATTATTGTACGTGACCAAAATGGGTATGCCACACTTTGCTAGGTTCTTGCGCAGGCTTGCCGGCTGCTCCTGAAACTCAGTGCTAGAACCGACTTTAAATTCGGTAACATTGATGCGGCTTGCGGTTAGGCCTACTGTTATACCACTAAATGTTAAAGTTACTTGCAATTTTTTGGGGTCTTTAATTTGTACGTTTGGTGATTCAAACTTTGTCACAATGGTGTCAAGAACAAAGGTACATTTCTCTATTTGGTTGGACTTCATTGCAATTTAATGATTTCGAAATTGATGAAAACAAGTTTACAGCACAATTTTGTGTTGTATATAGTATTTGTAAAGTAAATTGAATGAAAAGAAAATATAGTTATTGTAATGAACACTAATACATAAACTACTGTGATGGACACAATTATAAAAAGTTAATATCCATTCTGGTTTTCTATTGTTCATTGGCTTAGGGAAGTTTAACTTCCTGAACAGGTTTTTTCAGATCCGTAATCCTATGTTATGGCTTGACCCTTGGTTAGTCAAATTCACCCAGAGAATATTAAAATATTCTATCGAAGCTGTTTCTTATTTATGTAATTGCATATCAAAAGTAACAAGAGTACACTAGTCGGGAGTGCTCGATTAAAAGATGTTCTTGGTTAGAAGTACTTCTTGCAGCATTAATTTTTGAAGAGAAGTATTTGCAAAAATATTAAGTCTCTAATTTGCTTTTGGAAGAGGACTCAATAGTCGAATAAGAGCTTTTAAGAAACAATTCTGTCAGTTCGTTGTTGTTGTGACTAAATTTGGAAAAGTTGGCTTGCAACAAGACAATTGACAATTGCATGTCATTCCAAGAACTTTCAAATAAAAAATTTTAACTTATTAATTAAATGCTATAACAATATATTTCAGGTTTCTAATCACTATTTTTGATTTTTTAATTTAACAAGCCTGTTTTAGAAACTAACCAGATATATCTTTTTTGTAGTCTTTTTGAATGTTTTTTAAAATTAATTTCCATGCTTCTGATGATTAATAAATTAATTACTAACAATGACTGATAAACTCACTCTGTGTACACATTTCAAATTTTCAGTCTGTAGCTTTCATAGTTTTCAAGATCGTTGCTCAGAGTATTACACTCGCAACTTGGTCTTTCTAAGCAATAATAAAATAAAACTAATTATGTGACATTAACATATATTCTAAAAATTTATGAGATCATACAAATAGCATTTTTTTGACAGCCGACTTAGCAATAATAAGCACAGCTTTGTTGGGTAGATAGATTGTGATATTGCCCATGGAATTGATTATTGCATTGGGCAGTATACGGATCAAAGCCCTTTCCTAGCCGCGTCACAAACTCAATGGGGTCTGGGGGCATTTGCAGCAGAGCGCGACGTCTACGTTGCATATCGGTTAGTCCGTCGGGACCAACATTAGATGCATATTTTCCCTTAGTCTTTGACCCTGTAAATAGGCCATGTTTCTTTAAATACGTCATGTTTTTATCGGACCCTGCCTGTTCACGATTGTTCCCGGGATGAGATTGATTTGATTGATTTGAGTTTTTTTCGGCATTTAATTGAGCTCGCTTAGTCATTCTTACGGGAATTGCCTTGCTGACAACTGCTTTGGCACTAGGGTCCTTTTTAGCACCGGGAAATGATTTTCCGCGCACTTGACTTACTAATTTGCCAACAGGATCTGGTCGCCCGCCACCGCGCATAGGCCCTCCATAGCCGGTCCCCCAAATATCCTTATTTTTAGGTTTACCGCCCGGAGTAGCTGGTGCCCCATGCGCACCACCACCCCTATATCCAAAGACACCATCCTCAAACACTTCCTCTCCTGGAGCGGCGAAGGCTGTGCTCGTGTAACGATCACCGGCAGCACAATCATAGCCGCGCCAGTAGGGGATGTGTTTGTATGGATAACTTGGGAGTACGCTTCGATTTTTTTTGCTGCACTGGGTGGCATTGTTGGCGGTCAGTGGCTTTGGTATCGTCCGAGGCTTCGCCATGCCCGTCGGCGGTGTCACATTAAAATCATAGTCCATTTCGCTGTCACTGGTGTCTGTCAGGACCAGATGATCTACGCAGTTTTCTATGCCGCGACGCTTGCACTCCTTTTGCAGTGCACCCTCAAGATGTTTCTTTTCAATGTTGTCGCGACAGACGCACATCATAACCGTCTTGTGGCAGGTGCATTTGGGGAAACCTTTCGCTTTTAACTTTCTCTTGATCTGGCTTAGAGCCACAGCGAGATCGCTTTTAACTACCTTAAATACAATGGGCTTCATCTCAATATGCTTATTGTTAACCGCGCGCAGGGTAATAAATATTTCGCCTTGCTTCTTGCACACGTGAAGAATGGGCAACTCACGTTCTATTTCTTTTTCGACTTCCAGTTGTTCGCTGCACGTCTCGTATGCATTGTGGTCTGGCGAGTAATACAAAAAGAAATTCATTAGCTTCTTAATGGGCTTGAGAACTGCGCCGGGCTTCCAGCCATAGTTGCGTGCCTCTTGACTTGAGGACCACGCCCAGCCGTGGCGACGTGGGACTAGGCGTTGCTTATTCGCACAGGTCTTGTGTCCTGTTAACCGACTTTGGCTCTGGGAGTGATCATTAAGCTCTTTGTGGGCACTGCTTTGATTGGTTACTTTAGCTTTCTTTGTTTGATTAAGGGATAAATCTTTGTTGTGTGTGTGCATTTTGTGCTGTTTGTCTTCACATTTATCATCGAGTTTCGAGCCTCGCATCGCGTCTTTGCTATAGTATAGATCGCGCAGATCGGAGAACACTTTAGCGAGATGTGGGCGGGAGTCATCGGCTTCCACACAATAATCGTTTCCCCCATCGGGAATCTTGGGTATTTGCCTCTCATCTGGCTTAAAGATATCGGCGCACAGTTTACGTATTCGGCAATGAGCACACAGTTTTTTCTCGCACGAGCACCGACATCTGGTCTGTACCTCCTGAGGTGACTTTTCCTTGAATGCTTCGGCATCGGGATCCGCACATGGATCTTCATTCTTATTTTGGGGCTTACCCAGATAGTCGATCAGTATTTGTTCTGCAGTCAGTTCCTTCTCACTGGGAGGGTCATTGACGACCGGTATGGCCTTGACTCCGCACTTTGGGCAAGAGGCAAACATTGGTAGCCATGACATATTGTTGAGGCAAACGGGACAGAAGCGTATGGGCTTGATATGTGGGTTCTTTCCATCACCGACAGGCTGGATAAGAAACCTTGGACTACGGAAATTATCATGTTGGTCTGTTGGCAAGTACGAAAAGCATGGTGGATTTTCCGGCTGTGGAGCATTACAGAATTCACTCGAGGAAGTTCGCCGCTTCTCGGGTTTATGGCATGGTGGCAACGGAATGATAGAGTCAATAATCTCTTTACAGTCTTGCACCAATTTCTGTGATCATAAATAGCGTATGTTATTTGCAAAATGCGATGTAAAACGACGCGCACCTTAAGTGGTGTAAGAACAGCGTTGCCATTGTTATTCTGTATGAGAGATTTTGAGTCCCGAAGGCCGCTAGCATTCGAGCTGCGATATCGTAGCAAATCCAACTTCAGGCGCTCATCTCCTACTTCGTCTTCCAATGTATCTTGGCAAGGCTCGCAAGGGATGGCGCATGGCTGGGACTCGCTTAAAATAAACATGATATCCTGCTGGTTGATATTTTTGTCTACATTGTTCTCCAACGGCCTGAAAAAAATGATCAATTGCTTAAACTTGAAACTCGAGCTAAGATCAGAATCTGTACTTACATCTGTTCATATTCGCATTTAATTATAAGACGGCAGAGCACCTCAATTGTGCCTACAACTTCAGTATCCCGTTTGATTTTGCAGCTGTCTGAATGTATCAAATCAGGCATACCTACTGCAATCCTTTCAGTGATGTAGTTGGGAAAACTTATCTGACCTGTGCCGACAACGAATCCGTTATAGCTAACTGAGATGGACATTCCCAATTTTTCAAGATTGTCGCGCAGGGCTTCTGGTGTTATCTCAAAATCAGTGCCGGAGCCAGTTTTGAAATCGGTTACATTGATGCGGCTTGCTGATAAACATATTTTCATCATATTCAATTTGGCCTGAACTTGAAGTTTTTGTGGATCTTCAACATTCAGGTCTGATAACTTTAATTTTGTCACAATAACATCAAGGACAAAGTTACACGAACGCATTTTATTGATATACAATTTAATTATTGCTTATGTTATGAAGTTTTGCAGAATTTGTACGCTATATAAAATGTGCGCATAAAACCCAGAACTGGGAAATTTAAAAATTATGAAAACAATTTTTAAAACCAAATTAGGCTTGCGTGTGACAAGACTAAAAAAATAAATGTACAGCTTTGTGCTGAAAGAGAAGGCATGGGGCATTACAAAAATGATGTTTTTTTCATTCCATGAAACACACTCGACAGAGATGTTTTAATATATTATTTATGTTAAATTGCTTTTGTGAGGTGAATACATCTCCGATTCCACAGGCAAAAAGAGGGCAGCTTCTAGATTCTGTTCATAATAATAATCAATAAGATGATGTAGCTGCGTTTTATATAACTAATTTTTTTTTTTTATTCCTGTTATACATTGGGAATTTAAGTGTGTCTGTGTATGGACATTAAGACTGAATATAATGTATATTCTTAGCTAACATACACGAATGACGTATGACTGACAAAAAAGACTTATTGGTCACAACCGGAGCCTATACAAAATTATATACGGTCGCATGGCATCGCTAAAATAAACACGTTAACCCACTGTCGGGCAATATTCCATTTAGGCGGGAAAAGTAAACAATATCAAAAACTTTCCGAAGACACACAGCGCCCGCTGTGTACTGTCTCTTCTAAAATGATAAATCTTCTCTTTGATCTGGACTCTCGAGTCTTAACAGTAGCAGCATGGATAGCAGCACTGAGCGACACATGCATTGTAGCATTGGGAGTGGTCATAGCCCTTGCCCAGGCGGGGCATACTGTCGAGCGGTGGTACGCACATCTGCTGGAGAAGGCGTCGCTTGCGTTGCGCATCGGTAAGTCCATCAGGTCCCAAGACTGGGCCATTCGCAACCGGTTTCTTTGGCTGAGGGTTATTAGGGTCCCAGGGCGTAGGAACGGCGCCATGTCCCTCCAAATACTTGATTAGGTTGATTCCCTTTTTCTTTCGTTCAATCTCATTCTGTATTGCTTCTTTTTCCGCTTTAGCAGCATTTTTAACGGCTTCAATGTGGCGTTTGAGCATTCTTACTGGGATGGGTTCGCTTTTACCCTTTCCTGGTTGCTTTTTATTACCGGGGAATGACTTTCCGCCGAGAACGCCACCTGGACCACCACCTCGTATTCCATGGATCTTGGATGCTCCTTGCGGTCCGCCGCCCCCGTAACCAAAGATGCCATCCTCAAATACAGCTTCACCGGGCCCACCGAACGCTGCGCCGGTGTACCGATCGCCTGCAGCACAGTCATAGACGCGCCAGTAGGGATTTAGTTTAGTTGGATACTTTGATGGTACGATTAGATCTTTCTTATTGGTCTGTGTACCGTTGTTGAAGTTCTTGCGTGGACTTGATGGCTTAGCCGACGCGGCCGGCGGGGTCACATCGAAATCATATTCCATCTCGCTGTCACTGGTGTCTGTGAGCACCAAATGATCCACGCAGTTGTCCATGCCTCGACGTTTACACTCCTTCTGCAGTGCGTATTCGAGATGCTTCTTTTCTAGCATGTTGCGACAGACGCACAGCATCACCGTTTTATGACACGTGCACTTGCGGAAGCCCTTGTCCTTCAGCTTCTTTTTGATCTCCCTGAGGGCTACGGCCAGATCGCTTTTGACTACCCTGAACACAATGGGTTTCATTTCCACATTTTTGTTATTTGGAGCCCGTAAAGTAACGAGGATTTCTCCATTCTTCTTGCATACGTGCAAAATGGGTGGCTGGCGTTCCTTTTCTGCTTCTAGCGTTTCGCGGCACTTATTGAATGAATTATGTTTCGGAGAGTATTGCAAAAAGAATTTCATGAGGCGTTTAACAGACTTTCGAACGGATCCTGGTCGCCAGCCATTATTCCTTGCCTCCTCCCCCAATTCCCAGGCCCAGCCGTGACGGCGTGAAACGCCTCCTTCTGTTTTTAGGCAACGCTTGTGCTGGGCACCCATAACAGGAAGCTTGCGTTTAGCGGGCTTTTGCCTTGGCTTATGTTCAAGCTTTGGTCTTCCGTCTATGGCTGATTGCTCTAGCTTCCTGGCTTGTTTTGGTTCGCATTCAACTTGAAGTTGTGACGGTCGTCGTGTGCTTTTGATCTCGTACAAATCGAGAAGCTCGGAGAACACGCGTGCCAAATATGGCTGGCACTGCTTGGAGTCGGTCTTCAGCACACAGAAGTCCTCGGAGGATTTTGGCTTAACGCTGGGGCAAAGCGCCGCTTTCTGGTTAGCTTGGAAAATATCCCCGCATAGCTTACGTATGCGGCAATGAGCACACATTTTTCCGCACTTACACGTACACTGAACCTTACTGCATTTGTCATCATCATCAGCTTGCTTTTTTTTCGACTCGCAGGGGTCCACGCAGTAATCGGTCTTATCATCTTTTGTTTTGCCCACAAACTCGTCTATTATTTGTTCTGGAGTCAGTTTCACCTCCTTATGGCGTTCCTCAACAACCGGCATGGGCTTGACCCCGCACTTGGGGCAGGTGGCAAATTTTGGAAGCCATGACATATTGGTCAGGCAGATTGGACAAAATCGTGCTGGCTTTATCGAAGGCTTTTGCAAGTCACTGATTGGTACAGGTATCAGCGCTGGATCGCAGAAATCAGGACCCTCATCCTGTCGTGCTGGCAAGTACGAAAAACAGGGAACATATGGACTATGTGGCTGATTGTCCTCCTGAAAATATTGAAAAGGACCACTGCAGGGACCGCCCTGTTCGTGTGGTCTCCGGCAAGGTGACTTCAATGGCTTCGGATGGCCAACGTGCTTGGTAATAGAGTCAACAATCTCTTCACACTCCCGCGCCATTCTCTATGATTAAATGTAGTTTTGAAAAAGCTTTCAAAAGAAACGGACAATACACTAAAGTTGCATTCACCTTAAGCTCACAACAGGCGGAATTCGCCTCCGGCATGTGAATCATATTTTCTGCGGGTCGATAGCCACCAGCATTCGAGCTACGATAGCGTGCCATATCCAATTGCAGACGCTCATCGCCATCCTCTGGCTCCAAAGCGTCCAGGCAAGGATCGCAAGGGCTAGGGCATCGTTGTGACTCGCTCACAACAAACATGATGTCCTCCTGGTTAATGCATCTGTCTATGTTTCGGCGACATTCGGTCTGCTCTTCACTGTAAAGAAAGTTAAATGTTAAAACGTGATAAAACAAAAAAAAAAAACTATCTCAGAGGTTAACTTACAATGACTGTTCTTCGCATTTAATGAGGAGACGGCAGAGCACCTCGATGTGGCCCATTGTTTGCCCGTCTTTTTCGAAATCGCAGGAGCCTACGTGCATTAAATCGGACATTCCTGCATCTATCTTATCTATCACGCTTTGAGGAAACATTATTTGACCGGCGCCTATGACCTTAGTGTTGTATGAGACCGTCATCAGCAAGCCGCACTCCTGAAGATTCGCGCGCATCTTCTTTGGCGCCGCATCAAGATCGACGCCAGCGCCAGATTTGAACTCGGATACATTGATCTGACTTAATGTCAAAGGCACATTTATTTTATTGAAATTAGCAACTACAGCCAATTTTTTGGGATCATAAATTTTCACAACGGTAGACTCGAAATGTGTAGCGATAATATCGAAAACAAATTTACATGCCATTTTGTTGGTTGGGTTGATTGTTTATGTTTTCTAGGAGATTTTTTAATCTCTTAATTGATATATTATTAATTGGTTTATTACTGATAATTTTGGCTGGTTCTTTTAAAAAGTGCTAAGAAAAGCTTGGTAACCGGGAATTTAAAATTGATAATTTAAAATTTTTATTTTTTTTAAAGCATATTAACTATTGCACTTAAAAAGTTTTTAAACTAAAATATCTAAAATAGAATTCTGTAATAACACGTTAAATCAAATGCTACTATGATTATCAATAAAATAAAAACTAAGAATGCAGATATATTTACCAACTAAAAAAAAAATTAGCTATTATACCCATAATGAATAATATGTTGAACATATTCCTCCAAAATTAAAAAAGGACAGAGTCTTAGCAAAATGTTGAGTATACAGTCTTATATGGAATATAATATTTTATATATATTTTATGGAATAAAAGCAAAAAGCCGTCACCAATTTGGATAAAATTAAAAGGCCACTTTAAAAGTTGTCCTCATAATTAGCTATATATATATGTGCCCTTTGCTGAATTTAATATTATTATTGCTAATGCAATGAAAGTTTTAGTGGTCAAAGCTGCTTCCACTGTTCATAAATAACTCAGCTAAGACGATATGGCATGAAGTCAACTTGTCAACTTGGTAGATTGATATTTGTCCATTCTCGATCTATTGCCAATTTAAGCTGTTCCCGATATTAGATGAGAACCGCTTTTGGCAGTTTAAAATAAAAAACAACTTTGTAATATTCATAATAAGATAAAATTTATTGGCATTGTGACCTATGCGAAATGGTTGTTTTTTTTTTATGTATTATTTATCATTCCGAAATGCCTTTTTTAAAAGTTCGTCTTATTTGGCGGTAATCTCGTATTTGATTTCCTATAAGCTGCGAGTTGTAGTCTAGTCATGTTGATACTTAAGATTCGACATCAAGAACTCGATGTTTCTTAGCCATAGTAGCCGCAAGGAGGACACCACTGAGCACAAGGAGAGTAGCTTTGAGCGCACGGATCGAAACCCTTACCAAGCCGCGCCAGGCTCTCAAATGGTGGGATGCAGATCTGGTTAAGAGCCCGACGCTTGCGCTGTGCATCGGTCAGCCCATCTGGCCCTACGATCGGACCTGTCTTGGTTTTTACTTCTGGCTTAGGCTCATTAGGGTTCCAGGGTGTGGGAATTGCATCGTGCTTCATCAAATACTTCATTAGGTCAATGCCCTTTTTCTTCTTTGCAATCTCATTCTGCACTGCATCTTTTTCTGCCTGGGCAGCTTTCTTCAAAGCTTCAACATAGCGTTTAGGCATTCTTACTGGGATGGGCGCACTACTTCCTGTTGGTTTCTGTTTAGCACCAGGAAAAGCCTTTCCGCCTGGACCGCCCTTATTACCTCCACGTCCACCACCTTGTATAGGCCCACCTGGGCCCGCACCCCATATTCCGTGAGTCTTGGCCCTCCCACCGGGAGTAGCGTATGGTCCATGCGGTCCGCCGCCCCCGTATCCAAAGATGCCATCCTCAAATACAGCTTCACCGGGCCTACCGAACGCTGTGCTCGTGTACCGATCGCCTGCAGCACAGTCATAGGCCCGCCAGTAGGGACTAAGTTCGATGGGATATTTGGGTCGGGCTTTGTCTTTCTGATTCGTCTGTGTACTCAAGGTGACAGTGCGAGGTTTTATAGATAGCTGGGGCTTTGCCACGCCTGCCGGCGGGGTCACGTCAAAATTAAACTCTATTTCACTGTCACTGGTGTCTGTGAGGATCAGGTGGTCCACACAATTCTCCATACCGCGACGTTTACACTCCCTCTGCAGTGCATCTTCGAGATTTTTCTTTTCCAACATTTTGCGACAGACGCACAACATCACCGTTTTATGACACGTGCACTTGCGGAAGCCCTTGTCCTTGAGCTTCTTCTTGATCTCCCTGAGGGCCACGGCTAGATCGCTTTTTACTATCTTGAATACAATAGGTTTCATTTCTATATTTGGATTATTGACCGCACGCAATGTTATGTATATTGCGCCATTTCTCTTGCACACGTTGAGAATAGGAAGCGGTTTTCTTCTTTCTTGTTCTTCAGCTCGCCGGCAGATGTTAAATGCATTATTCTCTCGCGAGTATTGCAAAAAGAACCTCATCACGGTTCCAGCATAGCGACAAATGGCTCCTGGGCGCCAGCCATGTTTGCGCGCTTTTTTGGTCGATGGCCACGCCCAGCCGTGTCGACGGGAGACGCAGACGTGACGCCTAAGACAAGTCTTATGGCCAATTTTTGGGCCATGCGACGTCCGTTGCAAATAGTCCGGACTACTAGTCGCGTTTTGTATGGCGCCCGTTGATGAATTTTGACCCAATTCCTGTGTCTGTCTGGCTACCGAAGCTTGTCCAAAATGCTTCTGTAATTCAGCTTTTTTAGCATTAGCAGCCCTTTTGCCGTAGAGATCTGTAAGCTCGCCGAATACACGTTCTAAATAGGGGCGACATGCCTCGGGCCCTAAGCTGTCGGACTCGACTATAACACAAAAGTCCTCATCTGGCTTAGGCTTGACTTCGGGGCACTTTTCTTCGTGAACGACCGGTTTGAACATGTCTGCGCACAAATTGCGAATGCGACAATGAGTACAAATTTTTTTAACCGTGCAGGTACAGCGTTTGGAGTAATCGGGCTCCTTCCTATCATCATCTTCGACTGATTTTGCAGGCACTTTGAGAAACTCATTCATAATTTGGTCGGCCGTAAGCGTTTGGCCGGGTATAGTCTCAATTTGAGGCATGGCTTCAGTACAGCATTTTGGACAGGGAGAGTATTTGGGCAGCCACGACATTGAAGTGAGGCAAACAGGACAGAAACGTATGGGCTTTATTCCCATCTCTTCTATGTCTCCAGTAGGAATGGGTATCGAGCGATCAACATACTTTTGTGGGAAGCTTCTCTGTTTGCCGCTCCAGTCCGTGATAACTAGATCCTTATTAAGGTTCGATGTAGTTAAGCTAATTGCATTCTTCAGAACCGAATCGATTATTTGCCCGTAATGCTTCGTTAGAGCTTGTAATTGGCAGCATGCTTCCGTGCCACAAATCTCCTCAGGTGGTTCAGTGACGTTCTGGTTAAGGCTGGGATAGCGATTTAGATCCAGCTTAAGTTGCTCGTCACCCTCCTCTTGCTCCAGCTCATCCGCGCACGGTTCACAAATCGTGGGGCAGGGATCGGGATCGCCCAGTACAAACATGATGTCAGGCGCATTAATATCCCTTCCCAGGCTGCCGAAGCTCTTTATACAGGGTCTGTGGAAACCAATACAACTTAAGCTATGTACAATTATAAGTGGTGCCAACTTACTCTGTCTGTTTGGGTTGCTCCACGCACTTGACAACCAGAATGCAAAGAATCTCTATAGTGCCCACCTCGGCATCACGGCGTATAATGCTACATGTGTCCGCATGTAGTAGGTCACTCATCCCATCCTGAATGCTATCGATGAAGTTCTGGGGAAATTGGATGCGTGCGTTCCCCAAACTGAGCCCACCAAATCGCACAACTATTGGCAAGCCATCAGCCTCCAGGTTTTGGCGCATTGTTTCGGGTTCTGTTGTGAATTCAATGCGGCGTCCAGATTGGAATTCGCTCACATTTATACGGCTCGCTGTGACGGTAATTGGTATTTTGTTAAGCCTAACATTAACCGTTAGTCGCTGCGGATCGTCGATTTTATCCTTGTACATTCGCAAGCGAGTTACTATAATGTCGAAAAGGAAGCAGACTTTAGCTGAGATCGGTTGATCTGCCTCCATTGTTCTTGCACCTCAACAATTTTTTTCCGCCAAATATATTAGTAAAATAAAAATTAAAAAAATAAAATAAAAAAACATAAATAAATGAAAGTAGCTTTCAAGCACGAAGCCAAAATTGAAATATAAAATCAAAAATATGTATGTAACTGTACTATATATCATGACTTAAAATGCTGATTGCCTTGTCTGGTATTAAGTTGAAAAGAATATAATTGTTGTATTGTGTTGCGCCTCTCTAAACTAGCTAAGACACAAACTAAAAAAAAGAACGACTATCTTCCAAAATTATATACCCTGGCAGATAAATGTCATATATGTTTATTAATACAAAATCAATTTGTCAGATCAATTGAAATATGAAGAATAGATGCGGAGTTATCTTAAAAATCTAATTTTTTGATCGATTCTTGGTATGGAACTACTTATATGATGTAATGGTTCGATAGGGGAGAATTTGATATATGCTTCTCATACAGAAAAAAGAGGATATACATAAATTAACATTACATACTCTTGTGTACTCATATACTCTTTCAAAAAGGGAAGACTATATATTATATATATATATATATATATATTTGTAAGTTCTGCGTCCTGCTATCCGCACGTCTCTCCCTCTGTCCGCCTTTTATTTAACCGACTTGAATCTTAGATCATATTATTGTAAATACCCGCGACACAAAACGTGTTTAGTTTTATAGGCACGAGAACTGGTAACTCAGTAAATCGCGAAAATTATTATTTTCTACAGCCTTAGACGTGGACATAAACGTATCCCTTTAAAGATCGATCATAAAATATTTTACTGACCTGAACGTGTATTACGGAGTCCGTGGTTCCCGACTGCCACAGTCTTAAATGTTTTATTTGGTACTCAATTTACTTACTGGATTTCAGCTAATTAATTAATTTGGCACCGTCTGCTCGGCGGCATCCTTTTAATTGCACAAAATTGATATTGATATTTTTGATTTGGTTTAGGGACATTGGCTGTTGCGATATTTGCTGTGCCGCCCACTTATGTGGCAATGCACTTGGCGGCTAACCAAATCCCAAAGCGCTGCCAAAACACTCCGAACAAAACCCCAAACCAATTTAAGCGCGTTAAATTTATCGCATCAGCTGCCTTTGATTTGCTTATAAGCGGCTTAGCACGCAATGCGCTGTTAACACACGCCACACCCACCACATGTGTAGGGCTCTCGGGCCTCTAAGTATGCTACATTATTTCACCTCATGCACTTATCTAAATTAAGTTCAATTTTAATTAAATTTCGCGCATTAATTTGACGTTCATCACGGCGCCGCGTGTTTACCAGTTGCATAGGCGACCAACTAACCCAATGATATTTAGAAATCAGCATGGCGCAGTTTTCCATATTTACGAAAAACTGCTGAATGGCAAATATTTGGGTAAGACTAGGGATGCATTATAGCAAACTGTGGCGATTTAATTGGATTTTCATGATTGCATGTTGGGCGCAGACGCTTATGTTCGATTCGCTAGCTCACATTATAGTAGCAACAATAACAAAAGAGTTATTAAGTTTAGCACAAATCATTAATTTTTGTGTTCTTTTTTTAGGGTTTATATGTTATATGTAATCTGTTAAGATCATAACGTGGTAAGGCAGACAACGTACCTATAGATGAGGTAAAAAGCTTGCACTCGCTAGTTTGTTTACAGGCTCTTATCGTGGCCAGTTTCCTATGGGGTCTTTAATATGTTTGCAGCTGGGTTGGGCTGGCGTATCGTCAAGCACATAACTGCACTTATCTCTCCCGCTTAACATATCTTATAACACCTTGGATAATCAAGCGTCGGCATCGTAAGCTCGTGCCCCTACACCTGACTTCGGGTCAGCTCATGCTGTTGTGACACCTTTGCCCCTTCACCCTTCCTCGATTGCAAGCCTCAACGAATTTAACGAAAATAATCAATATGCTATATTCGCAACTGTAGAGATTATTGTTGGGTTAATAATATTTATAATTAGCTTAATAATTTGAAATTTTTACTAAACTATCATTTTTTTTTTTTTTTAACATAATTATTATTTATTTTATTTAAAATCTGCCCCCTTTTTGGGCAATAATTAAATGTTTTCTTTGACCTATGGCAGTTATGTATTGCGCGTATCTATGTGTCTGTTTTGTGTGTTTAGTGTAGGGGAAGCAGTGGAATTTGTTGGAGTTAGACTCTTTGGGGGAGGTCAAGTGGGTGTTTCCTTTTGAGCCGTCTTGTTGTTGAGTTGTTGTTTAAAAGGTTGGTGGCAAGATTATTTGGGTGGTTGCCTAGTCTGGCGATGTAGCGATCACTCAACTTGGCAATTACCTCTTTAACCCAAGGTATATTAAGCTGGCTGTGAATTGTGGTATTTTCATGGTAAATATGCGCGTTAGATAAAATTCGCAGAGCTTTATTTTGAAACCGCTGAATAATGTTCAGGTTGCTCTTGCTGGCGGTACCCCAAAGATGGATGCCGTAAGTCCATGTTGGCTTGATAATTGTTTTATAGATTATTAGCTTGACGCGAAGCTTCAATTTGGACTGTCTACCAATCAGCCAGTAATATTTTTTTAGCTTGTTATCAGCCTGCTTTCTTTTGCGCACAATGTGTTCACGCCATGTCAGCCGTCTGTCGAGTGTGATGCCAAGATAATTGGGCGTTGTGCTTACCGGAATCTGTAATCCATCTAGGAAAACTTGAGGGCAGTTCCCTTTGCGCAGCGTAAAGGTGGTATGGGTGGACTTTTCCTGGTTTACCGCGATGTTCCACCTTTTCAGCCAGCTGTTTAGGGAGTCCAATTGACGCTGCATAACGGAGGACGCGTACTGCGGTGTGTTGGCAGTTGTAAGAAAGGCAGTATCATCCGCGTACGTGGCAACCAAGAGGCTCTGATCCGGGGTGACAGGCATGTCGGCTGTGTACACCGTGTATAACAGAGGTCCCAGAACGCTGCCTTGTGGGACTCCGGCTCTGATGTTCTTTATAGATGAAATAGCATCACCGCACTTAGTGTAAAACTGACTAAACTATCATGATCGAAAAGTTCTAACATTTTCTCGAATTAAAGTCTTAAATTTTTTATTTTCTTCTTATCTATAAATATTAGTCTACATCGTCATTTTGAGCTAAGGCCTAACAAGCATATACCCATGGTTGTTACATACTTGAATTAATGTTACAAACATTCATTTATGAAAAAGTTTTCCTATAATATTTGTATGCGACATACACAACTGGATACATGATTTTATCAGCATGCATTCAAATCTTAAAAGATGCATTTATTCATTAAAATTTTAAACATATTACATTCGACACAGCAACAATCCTATATGTATACAAAAATGCAACAGAGGTACATTGCTGCAATTTAATTTTAAATGAACGTACAAACCAAAACACAATTAATGTTCAATTTATAAATACTAAATCATTTGTTAAATAGGCTTATGAGAATTCTTATAGACATTCATATTCTTGGATATATAAGAGGGTGGTGAATTGATGATTGAATTGAATTTAAATACCCTTCTAGAGGTTAGCAAAACTTTGTCATGATTTTTGTAACGCATTGACGTTGGCATCTACGAACCCATTAATTCATATAGCTGTCAGATGGAAAACTTTTTTGTTTTTTAAGATGTATATACGAAACTTATTAGCATCGGACTAAAATATTATATAGTTGTCAATGGAACGATGGGTTGAAAATTAAGTTTTTTTTATGAAAAACTTTTTTGTTGATCAAGATATCTTCACCGACCCCGGAATTTATATCTTAAACTATACTGCTTATATATGAGTCAAATCATTAAAATTTTGAATTATGTATGGACAAATATTTTGTTTTCAAGATATTTTCGTCAAAATGAGCACTTACGTGCTTCAATATTCTGACATAAACCATAAGAAAAACTATTACAAGGGTATTAAATCTTCGGCGTGACGAATTATTCTTCCTTTCGCGTTATTATTAATAAAATGCACTTATATTTTTGTTAAAGTGTGTCAGTTATGACGCTTACCACTCCCCCCTCTCTTCATCAAGCACAGTCAGGACTACACGCTCTGATTCCCTCATGACCATAGTCGTGTGCGTGAAGGCGAGCAGATGTTCAGATCTAAAGGCCATTCGATTATTCTGTTCGAAAAGCACGCACCTCGCTAACCTATTACCCCATTATTCTACATTCTACCTCGCAATTGTACTTTTTAAATTACAGCAATTTGTAAAAATATTTTTTTACTATATGTTGAACATTCTGTGTCCGCTAAAAGGTGCTTTTGATGGGAAGACCTCAAAGGCACTTCTAGCTTTCTGGTCGAGTGGATATTATTGTCCATGAGCATGTCCGACAAAAATTGTTATTTTAATGCCTCATTCTGGTGTACTCCTTTATTACACTTATACTTTACTATACCATAATCGACTGTACCAGCTGTCAAATTTTCTATCTGTGTTGCAAGATCTTTTGGAAAGATTATGACATCTCTCTCGCCTTGACAAAAAAGGGTTTATCCCTTGATTGCATGGCAAATATCACGTTTTGCATATTTCATATTCAATAAATATTGAAAAAAAACCCTTAGTTAGAAACTAGAGCCTTGTGCTTTGGTAAATACACACATTTGCCAAATTACTGTCCTTATAATTTGATTATAAGGCAGCCTGCATAAGCCTTTTGATTTGATGGTGCTATAAACCGAAATATATATATAATACGATCAGTTAAAATTATCAATCTTTTACATTGAATAAAATAATTACATCACGATGATTTGGCGTCCAGTTCACAGCTAAGTTGCGACTGGTAAAGAAGCTTGAGCTCGGATAACACAATTTGGAGATGTGTACGACAAGTAGCAGGTGATCCGTTGCACTTGACTTGTACGCAAAAGTCCTCATTAGCTTTGGGCTTGATATTTGGAATATGTGTGCTTGATGATATGAAGATGTCTGAACACAAATTGCGGACTCGACAATGAGCGCACATTTTGCCCAACTTGCAGGTACAGCGATTAGTACGCTTGGTATTCTCAATATTTTCCTTATCCGAAAGTCCATTGGCAGCTTGATGAGGCTCGTCAGCATAACGTTTTATAATTATATCGGCCGTGAGCACATCCTTAGATTCATTCTTAGGTTCCACCATGGGCTTGGCCCAGCATCTAGGACAACAAGCATATTTAGGGAGCCAGGACATAGAGCACAAGCAAACGGGACAGAAACGAATGGGTTTAATATCCATCTCTTCCATGTCACCCACAGGAATTGTGCGTGGCATTCTTGTAGAATTGTAGATAACTGGTGTCCCGTGCCAGCTTGTATTGTGAGAGTGCTCAGCTGGCAACGGTGAAGACAATTGGGCAATCCTCTTGATAACCGAGTCGATGACTTCTCCGCATTTCGCCATCAGATTCTTTAACTGGCAGCACGCTTGCATACCACTTGTATCCTCAGGTGGCTGGGTGACGCGCTGGTTAAAGCTGCGATACCGATTAAGATCACGTCTGAGTTGCTCGTCGCCTTCTTCGTCTTCTTTCAGCTCATCTGAACACGGTTTGCAAGGTATTGCGTAGAGTTCTGGCTTGTCTACTACGAACATAATGTCAGCCTGATTAATCTCCTTGCACAGGTGTTCGCACCTCTTTTGGCATGCTCTAGGAGCCAATTTAAAATAACTAGTAAGCGACAGACAATCTTAAGTGATGATGCTTAACTTACTCTGAATCCAGCTCTGGGTCATCGCACTTGATGATTAGGCTACACAGCAGCTCCATACAGCCCACTTCTTTGTCGCGGCTTTGAATGCCACATGTATCTGCGTACACCAAGTCGCTCATGCCAATGGCAATTTTATCAATGAAACTTGGGGGAAACATGAGCGTTCCGGTGCCTAAGCTAATGCCACCGTCTTCCACCGTGACGAGCATGCCAATATTTTTAAGATTGTCTCGCAGCATCTGGGGCTCTGCTTTGAATTCGATGTAGCGTCCAGCTCGGAAATCGGTCACATTTATACGGCTCGATGTGATTGCAAGTCCTATTTTGTTGAACTTAGCTCGCACCACGAGATCCTGTGGCTTATCGAATTCATACTTATTTAGCTGGAGTCGAGTTACAATAATGTCAAAAAGAAACTTTACTTGAGCCATGGCGGTCAACATTTTCGATATAATTTTTTAAAATTATTGAAAATTTAATTCGCGCCAAACAAATGGTAAACAATTAAAATTGTAAAATTGTTATGTGTATAGTATAAAACAAACCTACAAAAATTTAGCTTGTCAGTAAGAAATAAATGAAATATTGAAACTAACTAGGTTTTTTCTTGAACTAAAACTTTTTTAAGTATGATGACAGATATGTAAATGGTTGCTCTGCACGCTTTATGCCTTTATAATTTTAGCAGCGGCTCTTAAAGTTATTCATTGCACTGCCTTGCAATAAGAGACGTAATTCAAATCATTTTCAGTTTAATACAAGCGTTAAAGTAGCTGCTTGCGTGTCGCTGGATTTGTCAGCCTAGCCATTCAGTTCAGTGCCCATGTGCCCAAGAGAATTGTGAAGCAGAAAGCCTTTTAGTTTCACGGCTATCAAATTTGGTTAGATGAGATTCTTTAATGGCAGTTCATTTGGTCGCCTTCCACTTGGAAGGGCAATGCACTTCGCGGCTAGCCAAATCCCAAAGCCCTGCCAAAACACTCCGAACAAAACCCCAAACCAATTTCAGCGCGTTAAATTTATCGCATCAGCTGCCTTTGATTTGCTTATAAGCGGCTTAGCACGCAATGCGCTGTTAACACACGCCACACCCACCACATGTGAAGGCTCTCGGGCCTCTAAGTATGCTACATTATTTCACCTCATGCACTTATCTAAATTAAGTTCAATTTTAATTAAATTTCGCGCATTAATTTGACGTTCATCACGGCGCCGCGTGTTTACCAGTTGCACCTGCGACCACAGGTAAATGAAACTGAGGATGTCTGGAAAGGGTTGTAGCCATAAAATCAGTTTGGGGCAGAAATACCAAAATGGTACCACAAATATTCAACGCTAAATATTTTGCTAAAACTTTAGGGCTTAGCAAAAAAGTGAGCCGATTTAATTAGAAATTCGAGGGCGCACACAAACAACAACCGCAATATATATTATGGAAATAAGACTACTTGACAACAGTACTATTCATACAATTTAAATTATTTATATATATTTTTTTTTTATTATATTATTATTTTTTTTTATTTTTCTTATTTACCTTCAGTACATTGCAATTTATTTTTATATTCTTGTGTATAGACCAACTAACGCAGGAGAATCCTTAAAATATGCACTCCGTTTTTATACCCTTGCAGAGGGTATTAAAATTTTGTCGTGAAATGTGTAACGCATAGAAGGAGACATCTCCGACCCCATAAAGTATATATAGCCATGATCAGTATCAACAGCCGAGTCGATATAGTCCGTCTGTCCGTCTGTCTTTTTCTATGCGAACTAGTCTCTCAGTATTAAAGCTATCTTTATGAAACTTTGCAGAAGTGCCTCTTTCTGTTGCAGGCAGTACAACAAAACCAAAACCAGCTGGATCGGACCACTATATCATATATCTGCCATAGGAACGATTGGTCGAAAATTAAGTTTTTGTATGGAAAACTGTTTTTGTTTATCGAGATATCTTAACCATACTCGGCATTAACTATTTTACCTGTGCTTCTTAGATACGCACAAATCACTATGAGCATTATGAAAAGGTTGGGTCTGTAAGGGTATTAAATCTTCGGCGTGCCGAAGATAGCCCTTCTATCTCGTTGTTTATGTTTTTATATTCAAATAACAAGTACCTTGTTGAAAACAATTAACAAAGCTAACAAGCTACCTTTACACTATGCACTTGTCCAGAGAAACTTAAATTTAAAAATGTAATAAAATTGATGATTTAACAATATAAATTTTGTCGATTTAACAATTCATTTTACAAACTTGCCAATTAAGCTTGGCATAATCCGTAGACTTTCAAATTTAATTCTGCAATTTATAGCGCATTTACCCAAATTTATTCGTGCAGATATGCTTTGCTCGAAAATATTTGGTCATGTAATAAATTTAATTGCTTTGCCAGATTAATATCTGGTCATAAAACAAAGCCAAGCTGCTGCGTAGCTAGGAAGCAAACCAAATTGCAAGCAATTAAAAAACTTGAACTTGTAAACAGGACAAACACACAAATATATCACATGTTCGCTCATATATGTTGCCCACAGCCAACGAATAAATAAATACGGCTTAGTAAATTCCTTAGACATATACAGGGCAAAAACAAAATACATTTTTCAGCAATGAAACGAGAGGATTTATTTCCAGTAACCATTGCAATTTCAATCATCGCAGAAGAACAAATAACACTTATCAATGTGTAACAGTTTTAGCTTCACTGAACCGGTGCACAATGGGATAGATTAAAATATTTATGGCATTAAGTCATTTTCAAAAGCGAAGGGCTTTCATTGATAGGAAATAAAAACAAATTAATAATTAGAAACAATTGTCAAACATTAAAAACCACACATAAATAAAAAGAATAAAAAAATATAAGAGATAAAAGCGAATGGTGCAGGACCTCTGCTAATGTTACTTACTCAATCATTTTTAGAATATTTTTATAACAGTCTAAAGACGAAAATATTATTAAAAAATAAGCCGTATATTTTTCCATAGTACAGTGGGCAAGTGTGCGAACTTTTGTCAACGAGTTAGTCCAATATCTATGCACCTTTTGTGTGTGTTTACACCACAGCTACGGGCAGAACAAATGTTTTGCATGTAGCCAGCCACAGAACTTCAGTCTTAACTCTTCACTCTGCACTTTACTTTCGACAGAGTCCTGTTCGAATGGCGAAGTGCAAGGCTGCGGCTGTGGTTTTGGCAGTTTGGCAGGCCACAAGCAGTTTCTGCTGCTGGTAGACAAATGAGCAATGCCATTAAATACGTTTGAAATATGCTGGCAAATCATTTACAGCAGCCAGAGTCTTGCCAGCTTGCTGGTTTTCCAATAAATCTGAAAATGGTGAAACCAACGTGGCTTAGGGCTGTCAACTAAATAGAAATCGTTGCAAGTTTGACCGAATTTGGGTTAGGGCTTTGCTAGCTTGAAGGCAGCGAAGCGTAATTTTGCAAATATTTTTTTGCCGTTGACCTTCTCCACGATTTAATACGTATATATACAGTATACAGCGTATGTATGTGTCTAGCTGTATATAGTATTAAAGCAAGCACACGTTAGATTTCTTAATGGACAAGCACCAGAAACTTCTAGGGGACGCTCTTGCCGTGTTGCATTCGCGCGATTTAATTAATTAAATTGCCCTGACATTAAGTTTCGACTAGAAATATTGTCATGACATGAATTTCTCGCTATACGAAAATGCAGGACCTTGTTTCAATATCGAAATTTTACGCTATTATGAAAAGTTGTTCATGATGTGTCTAGCATCTGTAGTTGCTGAAAAAGACGCAATCGTAAACGGACGGATGGACATTACTAGGTCAACAAGCTCTATTCGTTCTGATCAATATAGATTCTTTATGGGTCGGAAATGATTTCAATTACTTATTAAACGCAGTCATAGACGAACGGCCGGACGAAGATTGCTATGTCAACAAGTTCTCCTGATAGAGGATATATGTACTTCATGGAGTCAGAGATGCTTTCCTCTGCTTGTTAAATACATTTGCAAAATTTACCTTTTTTACCCGTTTTATATGGGTTCAGAGTATAACTGTCTTGTACTGCATTTTTTCATTTGAATATCAGAAAGTATTCATACTAAGAGCTTCAAATGCCACACATTGCCCGCAGATTCGCGACATATTCAAGATTAGTCGTTTCGCAGTGGCTTTTATTTGTCGACAGCCTCCAGATATGCCCACTTTTTGGGGGTATCATCAGTTGGCTGCTTTTTTCACTTATGTGGGTGATGTTTTTCATTAAAATTTTTTGCTCATTTTAATGTGCTGCGCTCTCGCATTGCCTTGAGGGTATTTGTGCGTATTATTTGAACCGTACCGCAGTTGGTTTTTAAGCAGCATAAAACTGAGTAAAATAAAAACCACATATGGCTGAGGCAATAACGCACAGTGGGGCCTCTTTCTCAAAAAATTCCAAAAATAAAGTATTTGAAACTTTTCAAACAAGTGTTTTCAGTACTTACCAAAAAAATTACAGTGCATTATTATAAATAGAAGGAAAATCCATTTATTGGTTTTATTATACGGCTTAGTAAAAAGCATTTCACTGTTCAAGTTTCGCATGCACTTTTAAGCTTTGACTTTAAAGAGCTGCAAGAAATGTTCCCACTGTGCGATGAGCACATTAAACGAAATAAGTTCATCTATTTTTTATTTTTATTTGCTTTTGCCATATGCCCAAAAAGGCAGGCATGTATATGGTAAGTATGTATGTAGACGCAGTCCATTATGGTTTTAAAGAAAATAACCTGCCTTTCTCTTTTATGGGTCTTTTTGGCATTCGTGCATTATAAGGCAGACAATACTTGAAGGCAACCAAATATTGGAAATTGAATATGTGTATTTATTAGATTTTTGCACTTGATTATGTGTCGAGCGGGTTGACATTGTTGAGGTCTTACCTGTAAAAAAAAGAATCTATATGAAAGATAGAAAAATTATTTATGAATTGCAAGTATACTTTCAATAACAAAATCCTTCAACAACAGCTGTGCATAAATATGATTATAATTTCGTTACTTTCGACTTTATAATGGCGGCTGCAAAAGCGGAAATTAAACTTCTGTCCCCCAAAGCTTTGCATATGTATGCGTATGTGTATTGTGGTTGTTCTCGCCTCCATAGAACCCATAGAAATTTGCTGTATATTTTGTGGTTTTTTATAAAATGTGCCTCTTTCTATTTGAATATGGATTCCCTCAAACATTTTTGAAGGCAGTCACATTTTTTTGCACATGCTGCGCAGATTACCAGCAATAAACGTAGAATCTGCGTGTTTTCTTAGACAACATAAAACAGGTGGGTAACACGTTAAGTCAGCTATCACATAAAATGTATGTGCCAACACATTGACACAACAGACACGGACATGACGCTGGCTAATAAACTCAATTTGGCAATAACATCAACACCCAACAACAAAGGTAAATTGATGTAAAGCACAGCAGAGTGCCTCGGAAAAACTACTTACCAAGTTGCCACGAGGCGTACACTGCACTGAAAGACAAAATTCCAGTCATTTTATTTTTTTTTTA